GGCTTTCTTTACATACCATTATTTATATAATCTCATGTATTTTAATTTAAAAAAAATAAAAAAATATGATGAAAAATTGAAAAAATACATGTTTTTTGACTTTTACTTGAAAAATCTTTTACTCATCTACAAAAGCGAATGAAAAAAACAGCTAAATAGATTAAAAATTTTGTCCTGAGTATAAAAATACCCAGTGTTTACGTGCTTTTTTGCTCTTTTTTTTGCAAGTTATAGGGCTATAGATACAAGTAGGATATGGCGGTTTCAAAACAAACATTTTTAAAATGTATCAATAGTGACATTGTAACACTATTATCTGTCATAAATCTCTGGAAAACACTCCACATGTATATATTTTTTTTAAAGTAGACAACCCAGGGTATTCATCTAAGGATATTTTGACACTTTCTATGCAGCCATTTTACCACAAGTCTTTGCCAAACTTTGCATAGGTAGTTGTTTTTTTTCACATACATTGCAATTCAGGTATAAACTTACAGATCCTGTTATGTCTTGCTGCCAAAAAACACACTAATATATGTTCAGCAATATCTCCCGAGTACAGTGATACCACCCATGCATAGGCTTGTCGGATTGTTTGGGGGCTAAAAGGCCACATTTGGCAAGTGTGCATATCCATTTTTCAACTTGGAATTTTGACATGTAGTCAACCTGCACACATGTCCTATTTGAGACATTTGTAAGGCCGGCCAATGTATTTTACCCCCACCAAACCATATATTTTTGGAAAGTAGACACCCTAGGGTATTTCAAATGGTGGTTTTTTTAACACTTTCCATGCACTAATTCTACCACCAGACTTTGTCAAACATTTAGGTAGTCATTTTTTGTGTGTTTTTTTTCACAAACATTGTACTTTAGGCATGAATTAACAACTCGTGTTATGTGTCACTGCCAAACAACACGCCAATATGTGTTCAGCAACATCTTATGTTTATGGTATAAATATAAAAAACAGAAATAAAAACGAGCATTTAAAAGGCTTGAAAAAGCATAAAACAAGCGATCACGTGACATGCGGGTGTAACTACTTCCGCGTCACGTGATGCTTGAATGGAACGCATGCGTTTCAACCGAGTGGAACGCATGCGTCATTATCACGTGACGCGCGGCCGAGATTACTTCCGCGTCACGTGATAGTGGGATGGAACACATGCGCTCCAACCAAGTGGAACGCATGTGTCTCAGGGTGGGAGGGAACGCCTCCGTGCATAAACAAAGAGAAGGAGGCACAAAACGGAGCAGAAGACTCCACACTAAAATACATATGGGCATAAATGTAAAGTACTCATATTAAGCATATATATTGTAAAGACATATTAACACATGTAGCCAGATATAATCAGTCAGCACATATTGAGAATAATTAAATAAAATAAAATATATAGATACATAGTAAAAAGAAAAATTATTTTGTGGCTGATGATAAATAATTAATTGCAGTAGAATTTAAGCAAGATAAAAACATATAAAAAAGAAACATTGTAATAGAGACAGATAGTTGAAAATAATAATAAAAATAGTATATATATATATAAAATAATCAGTAGAATAACATTGGTTAAAATGAATGAATGTGAATAAAAATGGGTTTAAAAAGGGTGGTAATAAATTCCAGATTATATTATTCCAGAAAGTTAAAAAGGTCAAAATCAATGTTTAACCCTATAGGGGCAAGAGTTTTTAAATTGTATGCCCATTCCATTTCTTTCTTACCCAATATTTTTTTAATATCTCCCCCTCTCCACGGAATGCTACAAGTATCAATTCCAATACATTTAAGGTATTTTGGATTTTTTCCATGTTGTAGGAAGTGTTTCGAAACTGAATGATTCTCATAGCCTTTTAGGATATTCCTACAATGTTCAGCCAATCTTGTTTTAAGATCTCTAGTGGTCATGCCCACATATTGAAGGCCACAAGGGCATTCTAGGAGATAAATCACATTTTGTGTGTTGCAATGAATAAAATGTTTTATTTGGTGTACTTTGTGTGTTACTGTTGATGTGAATGATGTCGTTTTTGATTTAATAGTATCACTAGTCCGCTTACATACTATGCATCTGTTGCATTTAAAATAACCACTAGGTTTAGTTAAAAAGGTGGAGGGACTAGGGGATAAAGTGCTCTGTTTTGTATAATTATTTGTAAGGATAGACTTAAAACTGGGTGCCCCTCTAAATATAACTTGTGGTTTCTCAGGGATAATCCCAGATAAAGTCTCATCCTGTTTTAAAATATGCCAATGTTTGTTTATAATTCTCTTCATAACATTGCTTTTGTTATTGAAGTCGAAAATGATTGGCAATACTGGGGCAATTTTAGTCTCTTTTTTTATTTTTATATTCTAATAATTCAGATCTATTAGTAGCACTAATATTTTTTAATGTATTTTCTAGATTGCTTGTAGAGTAGTTTTTTTGAGCAAATTTACTAGACATCAATTTGGATTGTTCCTCAAAATCTTGCGTAAGGGAACAATTCCTGCGTAAACGAAGAAGTTGACTTTTGGGAATTCCTTGGAGCCAAGGTTTGTGGTGGCAACTAGATACATCAATGACATTATTTGTACAAACTTCTTTAAAAAAAGTTTTAGTATGGATATGATCGTTGCTAATAAAAACTTCTAAATCTAAAAAGTGAATAGAAGATTTGCTATAGTCCCAGGTTAAAACAATACCTTTATCATTAGTATTAAGGTGTTGTAGGAATAAGTTCAGAGAGTTCTCAGGGCCATCCCAGATAAAAAACAAATCATCTATGTATCTAAAATAGGTGACCAGGTTTGTCTGCCAGCCATGCCCTCCAAAAATGGCAGTGGATTCCCAGTCTGCCATAAAAAGGTTGGCATAGCTGGGTGCAAACCTGGTCCCCATGGCAGTGCCCTGTATTTGTAAATAAAAAGAGTCTAAAAACCAGAAAAAATTATTTTTTAAAATAATATTAATACCCTGAATAATAAAATCTATCTGATGGTCAGGGATGTTTTTCTCCGCTTTTAAAATATTTTCTACTGCTTGACAGCCTTGATCGTGACGGATGATAGTATATAAAGATTGTACATCACAAGTTACTAAAATATATGTATTTTTCCATGTAAAATTATTTAAAAACCGAAGTAAAGTCATAGAGTCTTTAAAGTATGACTTTGTACGTTTCACTGAGGGCTGTAAAAGAATGTCTAGGTATTCTGATAAATTGGATAAAATAGACTTGATCCCTGAGACAATAGGCCTCCCAGGAGGGTTTGTAATATTCTTATGAATTTTTGGTAGGAAATATATAACAGGGATGATAGGATGGGATATATTCAAATATTCAAATTCTTGTTTGGTTAAAATATTTTGTTCACGACCCTTAGTTAAAAAGGACGTTAAAACTTGTTGGATTTCAGATGTTGGGTCATGTGTTAATTTTTCATAGACTGTACAGTCGTTTAGTTGTCTCATAGCTTCTTTGATATACATGTCTTTAGTTAAAATAACAATACCTCCCCCTTTATCTGCAGATTTTATAACAATATTTTCATCTTTTTGTAGTTGTTGTAATGCTATACGTTCTGCTTGTGTGAGGTTATCTTGATCATATTTGTTTTTCTGAATTTTCTCTAGATCTTTAGTCACTAGTTTTTCAAAAACTTCTAAAGGACCTGATTTAAAACTGGAAGGAAAAAAAGTCGAATTTTTCTTTAAAGAAGTGGAAATTACTTTTTGTGGTCCTATCGATGGGATAGCTATAGATTGTGAATTAGAGATTTCTGCATCTTTGTGAGAAAAAAATCTTTTTAAAGTGGCTATTCTAACGAACTTGTTAATATCTATAAAAGCTTTAAAAGGTTTAAAAGGATTTGTAGGAGCAAACTTTAGGCCTTTAGTTAGGACTGATATTTGGGTGGATGTTAGTACCTTTTGGGATAGATTAAAAATTCCAAGATCTTTTTCATTTTGTTTGATTAATGATTGTCTAACCTTTCTCTTTTGGAGTCTTCTACCACTTCTCCTTCCTCTAAATTTAAACTTCGTTTTTTGGTTTTTGTAGGGTGTGGCGTTAGTGCATATGCGTTGTTTTGTGTACTCAATTCTAAAAAATAATCATCGTTATCTGTTTCTGAATCCATTTGATAAGTGTTCTGGACTTTTATCTCATTTATCTTATCCTATATTTTATATTTTATATATCCGTTATATTTATTCATTTAGGCGCACCCTTACCTTTCTTTTTGTCTATTGTTTTCTATATTTAGGGGATCATAGGGGATTCCCCTTTGAGGTGTGCTGCCTTCTTACCCATTCTGTGGCAGTTAAGCGCTGATTTTTCCTATTTTTATCCTTTTGAGTTTTGCTTCCAAAACCCCCTATTTTTATCAGCCGCTATATTCTAAGACCACATTTTATTCACCCATTATGTCTATCTTTGATTTTAGAAACAATTTTGTAATTGATATTAATCATGCTTTTAATACAGAACAAAACCTTCCTACATATCCAAGAATTGATAATTTTAATCAAAAAGAGTTATTTATGAAACTAGAAAAAGCACTTACAATGGAAATCAAACTTAAATGGGAATTAGCCACTCTAAAGAAATATTTAGAAGAAAGGATAACACCTAGAGGCCTAAGACTTTTTAAAGAACCTACCTCAGATAGAGATGATGAAGAATTCATGAGAGACTGGTATAACAAGTTAGAAGTATGCACCTTTGGCCTCATGGATACACTTATTATTAAAAAAACTAAAAAACTTTCAGCCCTTGATATAGAAATAAATGATCTAAAAGACAAAATGTCAACATTTACTGAAACACAAGTTTTTAAACAAAATTCCATTCTTATCCAGAATAAAATTGAAAAAGTAGAAATGGACACAAAACACATTAAGGTAAAGAAATATATCCGAGACAAACAAGACTACTCCAATAACCAGGTTCGTTCCTACCACAAAAGAAATATTTCAGATAATAGACCTTACTCATCCTCTATGACCTACCAAAATGATCAGATATCTAAAATACACCACCACCGTTTGCCTAGAAGAGAAAGCCAATATCCCCCTCATCCCCCTGTAAGGAAACCATCCTTTACTTCATCACGGAATTATCCCTTTAATCGGTCACAAGCTGTCAGTAAATATCACAATTACCAAACTCAACCAAGACACTTACCCCATCATCAGCACAAGTCACCCCCAGTTGTACACAATACCATCAATCACACTAACAATATTCATCACTCTCCTGGTCTATACCAGAATGAAAGGAATATTACACCAAAAATCCAAAGACCAAGGTATGCACAAAGACAATTTGAAGTACAAAAAACCCCCCCAAGTTATGTTCACAACAACAGATATCAACTGTTATCTGTGGATTCAGAAACAGATAACGATGATTATTTTTTAGAATTGAGTACACAAAACAACGCATATGCACTTACGCCACACCCTACAAAAACCAAAAAAACGAAGTTTAAATTTAGAGGAAGGAGAAGTGGTAGAAGACTCCAAAAGAGAAAGGTTAGACAATCATTAATCAAACAAAATGAAAAAGATCTTGGAATTTTTAATCTATCCCAAAAGGTACTAACATCCACCCAAATATCAGTCCTAACTAAAGGCCTAAAGTTTGCTCCTACAAATCCTTTTAAACCTTTTAAAGCTTTTATAGATATTAACAAGTTCGTTAGAAAAGCCACTTTAAAAAGATTTTTTGCTCACAAAGATGCAGAAATCTCTAATTCACAATCTATAGCTATCCCATCGATAGGACCACAAAAAGTAATTTCCACTTCTTTAAAGAAAAATTCGACTTTTTTTCCTTCCAGTTTTAAATCAGGTCCTTTAGAAGTTTTTGAAAAACTAGTGACTAAAGATCTAGAGAAAATTCAGAAAAACAAATATGATCAAGATAACCTCACACAAGCAGAACGTATAGCATTACAACAACTACAAAAAGATGAAAATATTGTTATAAAATCTGCAGATAAAGGGGGAGGTATTGTTATTTTAACTAAAGACATGTATATCAAAGAAGCTATGAGACAACTAAACGACTGTACAGTCTATGAAAAATTAACACATGACCCAACATCTGAAATCCAACAAGTTTTAACGTCCTTTTTAACTAAGGGTCGTGAACAAAATATTTTAACCAAACAAGAATTTGAATATTTGAATATATCCCATCCTATCATCCCTGTTATATATTTCCTACCAAAAATTCATAAGAATATTACAAACCCTCCTGGGAGGCCTATTGTCTCAGGGATCAAGTCTATTTTATCCAATTTATCAGAATACCTAGACATTCTTTTACAGCCCTCAGTGAAACGTACAAAGTCATACTTGAAAGACTCTATGACTTTACTTCGGTTTTTAAATAATTTTACATGGAAAAATACATATATTTTAGTAACTTGTGATGTACAATCTTTATATACTATCATCCGTCACGATCAAGGCTGTCAAGCAGTAGAAAATATTTTAAAAGCGGAGAAAAACATCCCTGACCATCAGATAGATTTTATTATTCAGGGTATTAATATTATTTTTAAAAATATTTTTTTCTGGTTTTTAGACTCTTTTTATTTACAAATACAGGGCACTGCCATGGGGACCAGGTTTGCACCCAGCTATGCCAACCTTTTTATGGCAGACTGGGAATCCACTGCCATTTTTGGAGGGCATGGCTGGCAGACAAACCTGGTCACCTATTTTAGATACATAGATGATTTGTTTTTTATCTGGGATGGCCCTGAGAACTCTCTGAACTTATTCCTACAACACCTTAATACTAATGATAAAGGTATTGTTTTAACCTGGGACTATAGCAAATCTTCTATTCACTTTTTAGATTTAGAAGTTTTTATTAGCAACGATCATATCCATACTAAAACTTTTTTTAAAGAAGTTTGTACAAATAATGTCATTGATGTATCTAGTTGCCACCACAAACCTTGGCTCCAAGGAATTCCCAAAAGTCAACTTCTTCGTTTACGCAGGAATTGTTCCCTTACGCAAGATTTTGAGGAACAATCCAAATTGATGTCTAGTAAATTTGCTCAAAAAAACTACTCTACAAGCAATCTAGAAAATACATTAAAAAATATTAGTGCTACTAATAGATCTGAATTATTAGAATATAAAAATAAAAAAAGAGACTAAAATTGCCCCAGTATTGCCAATCATTTTCGACTTCAATAACAAAAGCAATGTTATGAAGAGAATTATAAACAAACATTGGCATATATTAAAACAGGATGAGACTTTATCTGGGATTATCCCTGAGAAACCACAAGTTATATTTAGAGGGGCACCCAGTTTTAAGTCTATCCTTACAAATAATTATACAAAACAGAGCACTTTATCCCCTAGTCCCTCCACCTTTTTAACTAAACCTAGTGGTTATTTTAAATGCAACAGATGCATAGTATGTAAGCGGACTAGTGATACTATTAAATCAAAAACGACATCATTCACATCAACAGTAACACACAAAGTACACCAAATAAAACATTTTATTCATTGCAACACACAAAATGTGATTTATCTCCTAGAATGCCCTTGTGGCCTTCAATATGTGGGCATGACCACTAGAGATCTTAAAACAAGATTGGCTGAACATTGTAGGAATATCCTAAAAGGCTATGAGAATCATTCAGTTTCGAAACACTTCCTACAACATGGAAAAAATCCAAAATACCTTAAATGTATTGGAATTGATACTTGTAGCATTCTGTGGAGAGGGGGAGATATTAAAAAAATATTGGGTAAGAAAGAAATGGAATGGGCATACAATTTAAAAACTCTTGCCCCTATAGGGTTAAACATTGATTTTGACCTTTTTAACTTTCTGGAATAATATAATCTGGAATTTATTACCACCCTTTTTAAACCCATTTTTATCCACATTCATTCATTTTAACCAATGTTATTCTTCTGATTATTTTATATATATACTATTTTTATTATTATTTTCAACTATCTGTCTCTATTACAATGTTTCTTTTTTATATGTTTTTATCTTGCTTAAATTCTACTGCAATTAATTATTTATCATCAGCCACAAAATAATTTTTCTTTTTACTATGTATCTATATATTTTATTTAATTATTCTCAATATGTGCTGACTGATTATATCTGGCTACATGTGTTAATATGTCTTTACAATATATATGCTTAATATGAGTACTTTACATTTATGTATGTATTTTAGTGTGGAGTCTTCTGCTCCGTTTTGTGCCTCCTTCTCTTTGTTTATGCACGGAGGCGTTCCCTCCCACCCTGAGACACATGCGTTCCACTTGGTTGGAACGCATGTGTTCCATCCCACTGTCACGTGACGCGGAAGTAATCTCGGCCGCGCGTCACGTGATAATGACGCATGCGTTCCACTCGGGTGAAACGCATGCGTTCCATTCAAGCATCACGTGACGCGGAAGTAGTTACACCCGCATGTCATGTGATCGCTTGTTTTATGCTTTTTCAAGCCTTTTAAATGCTCGTTTTTATTTCTGTTTTTTATATTTATACCATACCTCCTTATATTTTATAAATATACCTTTTAACTCTTATTTTGTTCAAATATGCAATATACAATATTCCAATGACGTCATTCTGGCGGGAATTTCAAATTTCCATAGAAGTACTGTATGTTATATAAACCCTTGTATGTCAGGTGTGCCTTCCTTTATAATTATCTACTTGAAGAAGCCTTTTGAGGCGAAACGCGTCTAGATATTATTAGTATTTATTTGATTTATTTCTAATAAAGAATTTTATTTGGCATAAAATATTTTATTGCCATTTTCTTTATATTTATTTTATTTTATTTTATCAATACCTGCACCTGACCTACATCTACAAAGAATTGAAAGAATCCAGAGGTGGGGATTATACCACTTAAGCGCCTATACTGAGCAGTACAAATCTGCCCCATACTGTGTAAGTAATTTTCTATATACCACCATTTTATATTACAAACAGAGAGCACTATTCTTTTATTCTCTCAATTTTGGGTTAAACTGATTGGAACACCGAACACGGACCAAGAACTCTCCAATCAAAGCACTACTCTACATATCCATGAGTGGGGATCATTCCACTTCACGCGCATATATTGGAGCTAAATTTTAGCTCCAAAAAGTGTGAGTAGGACTATTTGCACTATTCCAATATTTACACTGTGATTGATATACTGTACCATTGGAGTTTTCCTTTTTTCTGTTTTCCTTTTATATATGTACCTCACCGGATTCAAGTACATCACCGTGAAGTCTCAACCCTGTCTGACGTCCCAAGATCTGTTGTCTCTACAAGGAGAAACTACCATAACGGACATTTGAGAAGTGTTCTGGACTTTTATCTCATTTATCTTATATCCTATATTTTATATTTTATATATCTGTTATATTTATTCATTTAGGCGCACCCTTACCTTTCTTTTTGTCTATTGTTTTCTATATTTAGGGGATCATAGGGGATTCCCCTTTGAGGTGTGCTGCCTTCTTACCCATTCTGTGGCAGTTAAGCGCTGATTTTTCCTATTTTTATATCAGTTTTTCAACTTGATATATAGGTATGCTTGGCCTCTCTTCAGTTTGGCATATTTTTGCATCCCCCCGTTAATGTTAACATCATGAAAGTTTATATTTTTATAAAGTAGACATTCCAGGGTATTGTATATGAGGTGTTTTCACATCCTTCTCCCAACCATTGTGCTAAACAAATTTCAGAGAACATGCATGGTGGTAATTTTTGAATTCTGCTTTTTATGCACACGTCATCTGGTTTTGGACAGCCAGTTAGGTTACTACCATAAAACTTTTTTAACCAAATGTGCAGGTATCAAATGCACCTTTAGCAGCATTCTCTAAACTAACTCCTGCAAAAAGAATCTAATTGGAGATTTGGGGGGAAGGAAACTGACTAACTAAAATTTGCTGCTTTCAAAAGAAAAAAAACAGTGCAAAGGGGTGTCTGTCCTTTTCCCTTTTTTATAACAGACCCAGCAACATTTCAGGGGATTTGTTTTTTTTGCAGTTGGCGGTATCTTAAAAATAAAATGTCTGGACTCCTTTGGCACCGTTGTTGGAACTTGACCATCTCCATAAATTATTGTGGAAATCAGATTGAACTAAAATTGGAGAAGGGTGGTTCTTTCTGGATTCATTTTTTTTAAAGAAAATGAATTATGTGTTGCTACTTGCATCAGGTAGATAGCCACCTTTTTATACCAGGCTTTTGTCTTTCTTAAGATAAGATATGGCTGCATCAGCTGATCAGCCAAAT